AAACGTCCTTGCTAATTGGAATAGAAATATTCTGAAATAGATCACAAGGACTAAAAGTTTATCCCATAAAAGTTTTATTTGAGAGATAATGGATGGTTGTTCCGTATAATTCCAATTCATAAAAGGGACACATTTAGTCTAAAATAAATGTTCGAAAGGTGAAATGGAATGAAAAGTGATAGAGGAAATTCCTTAGATATAAATGATTAGGAGTCTTAAGCGAGACGAACCTGTACTAGGTTTGATAATATATTTGTTGTTGGTACGTTAAACAACTATAAAAATAATTTTAAATGATTATGCTGCAAAGAAATTTTTAAAGTACTTACAAGGCATCAAAGAACACATGCTAACTTAAAGAAGATCCAAATTATTGGTTATAATTGGATACTCGGATTCAGACTTTTGCTCATAATGTCTAAAGGAGCAAAATTATGGAAAGGTGGAACCAAAGTCCATCATCGCGACTTCCACGGTGTAGGGTTGAGTTTGTGGTATGCTTTGAGGCCACAAGCCAAATTTAGGGCTACGGTGCTTTATCTTGGGACTTGGAAATGTCGACATCTAGTCCAAGCCGCTAAGAATTATCGCAGTATCGTAGCAATAATATTTCAAGGAATGACAAGTATTAAAAGAGTGTGAATCACATAAAATTGAAATACTTGGTCGTAAAAGTAGAAGTGAAGAACTAAAGTGTCATTTGAGCATTCTAGTACTACTTGCATGAAAGCGGATCCATTAAAGGGTTAATCCCTATAGCCGTTGCAAGGCATATGAAGAATATTAGGAATAACGAATGGGGCCTTGTTGGACTGACCGATACTGAATGAAATTGCTCAATTAATGATTTTGACACTTATTGAATTCAATTAAAGATGTTTGATTCTTCACATACAATATCATCATTATGGATAGTTGATTTTATAGTATATACATAAAAGTTGGATGACTTATGGTTATGGTACGAATAGTTTGTTCCATATTAAAGTAAAGTTGAATTAGAATGATTTGTGGTACATGGAAGGGATCATGTCGCTCGAAGACTTGTGACCGCCATGACTCGGTTAATTTCTATTTTGATTTTAAGCTTATAGATATATGTATTCAATTATAAGTTTGATGAAAGGTGCACGCTTAAAGTTGTTCTTTTGGTTTCGACACTATATGATCCAAGTGGGAGAATGTAATAATATTTATATTATTTTATTATTGTGGACTATATAGTTAGTTGAACTTAATTGCATTAATAGTCAAACTTAATTAAGGTGAATATGTATTTAATAGATTATTAATGTTCTAATATTAAAGAGTCCAATTGTGATGTTTGACTTGGACAGTAAGTTAGGTTAGAACATGGGGGGAATGTTAGTAGGATTAGGATTGTAAGTCTTTTCCTCTTATATATACTACATGTCCCTCTCTCCCATCTCATACGAAATAAAGTTCTCAACATCAAGGGCTTTGTGAAAAGACGAGAGAAGCGGGAGAGAGAACAGAAACACACGATTGGGATAGGGATTGACAGACTGCAAGGCCAGACATACAAGAACAGGGAAGGACTATAAGCTGGATTCTTGTAAGTTTCTATGTGCAATTTAATTTATGCAAAAGATCCATATTCTGTGAATTAATAGAATTACATGATTAGGGTTTATTCAATTCCGCCTAATAGTTGTGAATATACCCGTTAAATTTCTTACAGGTCTGATCTTAATTCCCTACCCTTTGAAAATGTTTCTTTT